GCTGTTGCTGTTGCTGATTATGATGTTGTTGTTTTTGTTGCTGTTGCTGATTATGATGTTGTTGTTGCTGTTGTTGCTGTTGTTGTTGTTGTTGTGGTTGTTGTTGTTGCTGCTGCTGCTGCTGCTGCACAACGGCAGTAAGTTTTTCAGAGGCAGAAATTGATTTGTCGACGGTACTAATTATTTTTTCGTCCAGCTTCTTCGGCATCTCCTTTCTACAAAATTTATAGTACACTATTGTAGTACATCCTTTTGTTTTAAATGACATTTTGTTTTCGTGCTATTATTTATTAATGTTTTTATTTTTATATGTCATAAAATTCAATATGTAATATAATCGAATAAAGAATAATATGAGATCTCGTGTCTTGACGACGGACTCGAAATAAATTTGAATTTTCAATGAAAGGAAGTTAATAGTGAGTGTCGGTATAAACGAGGCAATTGGTAGATGAGCATTAAAGCGTCAAATTCAAATAAAATCAGTATAAATAGTAAGAACAAGATTCGTAGAAAATTGTGAAAATAGAAGTAAGAAATTTGAATATTCGATACGGATTTTAGTCAACTTTTCTTTTCAAGAAATAAAGACAGTATTAGAAGAAATAATAATAGATCCGTTTGAGTAAAAATCTCCCACGAGAACCTAATAATATCTCCACTACATTTCATCACTTTTCTAAAGTACCCGATACTCCTGAATTTATAATCATAATCATTACAATTAAATATTACAGACATGTATATGGTAATAATAATAAATAGTATATTTAAATAAGAAGGAAAATGCAAACTATTTGATGACCAAAAACAATTTTAAGTATACGATCACATTATTGTAAATTATAATTAACTATTATGAAATGCTATATGTTCATACCTAGTAATAGTGGGAGTTGTTTGGATAGCAATTTTCTTATCTTTCTTCGGCGTCGTTTCCTTCACAATTGTTGTAATTTGTTCTTTGACATTTATAATTTTATGAGTTGATTGCATTGCCTTGCTCCTCGACGTTCCACTTGAACTCTTTTTATTCTTAGGTACTCCTTGAAGTTGTTGATGATACATTTCTTATAAAATAAAAATATAAATTTGTTATACGAAAGCTATTTAGGAAGTATAATAGAAAAAGATAAATAATAAAATAATAATAAATGAGGAGTTCACATTGTACTAACAGTTTTATAATCTTCTTAAAACAAAACAAAAATACTGTTAATAAACTAATATTGTAGACAAAATTTAAATTTGAAATATTTTTTTTTTCAAGATCAAATTTTCAACTTCTCTCGTTACAATTTATAAATGTAATATTTTTTAATCCTTACCAAATTCGGACTCGGATCGAGCCCGGTGCAAATATAGCCATTCCTTCCTTTTGGGATAGTATCTGACACAGGGATCGTTCTCGTAGTGGAGCCTGTCAAGGGCCCCGGACACTACCGAATTCAAGTTCCCTTCCTTATCATTATTGAAAATGTCCTCTTGAATGTACTGCGAATCCTTGAGCAACTGGCAGATGTCGGCGCGGGTGCCCTCGCCATTAGGGAGCCTCGCGGTCGCGTCCCGCACGAGCGCCAGGATTGTAACGAAATTCGGTCGATCGGGAACGAGGAGTGAATGTCCCCGCGCTTTCGTAAGTCCTGAACCTGAATTGACAATGAATTATAATGTTTCATATCCTCGTGCGAGGGCGCCGTTATTTGTAACTGACTACTCAAAAGCCTTTAAAAGTAATTACCGGCATTGTGCTGATAGATGCCCTTGACAGGCCCCACAACGGAAGCGTATCCATGCATTCTGTAGGTAAACGCCTTGTGGGGGGCAGCGTAACGCATGCGCTCCTGCCTGCGGAACTCCTCACGCTCTTCGAGTATCGAAGGTCTAACCTTCCAGTCCGTTGGCCAAAGGGCCTTGGGTGGTTCCCACTCGGGCAATGAGCTAGCCGCTAAGCCATCGGCGGTGAGCCCATCAACGGGTACTGTCGCGTCCGTAGATACGCCCAACGCCTCAAGGTTGTTTACATTGACGACGTTAAGTTGTTGCTGCTGATGCTGCTGCTGCTGCTGCTGCTGCTGTTGATGTTGCTGTGATTGCTGTGTTTGCTGGATTTGCTGAGATTGCTGGGACTGCTGTTTCTGGGATATCGTGGGCAAGGGCACGAGCGGCTTCGGTGGTACCAATGAGTCTCTAAAGATTCGAGACGTTTTTTCAGTTACACAAAACATGCGTAAAACGTTATATTTCAATAAATCTTATAACTTTTATTGTTATTATTATTATTATTATTATTATTATCATTAACATTATCATTTTTATTATTGTTATAGCAAACGTAAAGCTTAAAAGGTAATACATTTTTTCAAGCATATACATATATATATATATATATATATATATATATATACACATCATTATAATTTTATTTGCTTTATAATCATTACCTTCAATATAAAATAATATAAAAATAAAAAATTTTATTTTACTTGTAAAGCAGAAATTTGTTGCACAGTACTGATAGCCGAGAGTCCGAATCTCTTCCAGCGCCGATCCATGCGTAAACCCCACGTCCCTTGTTTTCTAGATAAGGTACGAGTTCATAGTCACCGTCCAAAAGCTGATCCTGTGGATAAACCAACTCTCCCGCAAGAAAGCTTAAGGCTAACGGTACTAGTACCGACCACGAAGAAACCAAAGAGTACCTAGAGAGACAAAAAAAAAAAAAAAAAAAAAACACGTTGCCGTCAAATCAATCATATTCGCTATAATGTAACAAATTTTTATTTTATAGCATAACTCATGCTTATTTGTCTTTGGATAGCTTTTATAATATTTATTAAAAAAAAAAAAAAAAAAAAAAAAAGAAAAAAAAAAAAAAAAAAAAAAAAAAAAAACACGTTGCCGTCAAATCAATCATATTCGCTATAATGTAACAAATTTTTATTTTATAGCATAACTCATGCTTATTTGTCTTTGGATAGCTTTTATAATATTTATTAAAAAAAAAAAAAAAAAAAAAAAAAAAAAAAAAAAAAAAAAAAAAAAAAGAGAGTATGCCGATAACTGGAGTGCAGCTTATCGCTACATAGATCTTAATACGAATTCACAATAGTATGTAAAATATAAATTACCAGTCGTTTAAAGGAGAAATAGGATTGTCCTGCCATAATAAAACAGCATCTTTCATTTCCATTCGATTCATTCGATATTCTCCTTTCGAGAGGAAAGCATCTCTTATTAAAGAGAAGAAACACGAATGCGTTTCTTGCATAAGTTCATCGCCATTCATTACAATATCTTCCACAATGGAATCAGCCATCTCTTTTTCTGGTATAGTGATAACATTGTCATCTTCGCATCTGAAAAACAAAAAACAATCGAATGATAAGTAGTATCAATAATATGACTTTTGGCCTAAAATGGATTTTTATATATAAAATTAGCTCAAATAATCCATTATTATGATAATAATTTTATTGAATTTTATTCCCGACTATCGTGTAACAGATACCACATACAGTAGCCAATTGAATAAAATTTTCCTCTTACTTAACAATAAACATGCAATATTGTAAAATACAATATACTCACTTAACATCTCCGAGAATATCTATACCATCGTCCAATTGAATAGGTAACTGCATCATGTCAATGCTATCAAGATCAAGTTCTTTCTTATCCATTTCCTCCCCGACTTCCATCGGTATTGAAACTGAAACGGGAATTTCGTCACCAACAATGATGTTATTTTCAACTTTAATGTCCGTCTCGTACTCCAGGTCCTCGATTTCCTCTTTTATCTCTGCTGCAGATATTGGCGAGGACATCTCATTATGAATAGACTCTGGGTCGCTGAAAAAAGAATTTATATGCAATTGATGGGAATGTTTTTGCGCAACGCCGAGTTTTGATAAGACAATGGGGACTTACTCGTCCATAATCGTGGGCGGTAGTTGGGCGGCTGGAGGTTCGATCTCGTACTTTTGTTCCATGGTCTCGAGAGGCTCGTGCTTTACCACGTGATCAATGGCGAGGAGACACGCGGGTGGCTTATGATCGGGCTGTTCGATCACATTGTGTTTGAGCTCATCCGCGCTATGTATGGAATAATCGCTCGTGTGGCTGTTTGTGTCGCTCTCAAGCTTCACCGGCGTTGTGTTCGATTTGAGGGCCAACGGCGGCGGCAACTGCGGCTGTTGCTGTTGCTGTTGCTGTTGCTGATGTTGGTGATGGTACTGTTGTTGATACTGTTGTTGCTGCTGTTGTTGCTGCTGTTGCTGCTGCTGCTGCTGCTGCTGCTGTTGCTCCATTTTAATACGTTTTTTTGTGGCAGGCACGCGTGGCGAAATCGTCAGCTTGTGTTTCTGGCCGAGTTGCGCCCGTTGCATCAGATCTGACAGTGCGATGCCTTGTGTATTGAGTTCCGGATGAGTCTGTTAATGTCGTGAAAAATTAATATTTCTTCTTTGTAAAACTTAATTTAAATCATCATTTCTAACTTGATAACTTAAAAGCTAGATATATATATATATATATATATATATATATATATATAGTATCAAATTTGTGTGATACGTATTAAAATTATAATTGAACTTAATGGAATGGTAGGTATCGATATTCTTATATAATAACAATTTTGAATAATCTGATACAATTAATCGGTGGGCTTACATCTCTTCGCGACCTCCGCTTTTTGTGAGCAATGAGCATTGCTCTGTACGAGTCCTCGTTAAGCTCGGGCCTTAAAGAGGTTGCCGCTAGGTTCGTCCCGACGTTCACTACTCCACCACATTCGGTTCCCACTCTCTGTAGCGTAGAGTACACGGGCCTTATTGCATCATCTTCGGGCCTAGAAAAAAAAATTTATTTGCATCACAAATACTTAAAATCGGCTTATTTTTTTGTGCGCATTAAAGTATTTTAATTTTTCAATGAAAACTTTTTTTACATTTAAGTTTCTTAATATATATATATATATATAAATAGAAACAACTCACGTCAAGTGCATTGCTCTTGTCGGCAAGAGAAGTTGTTGCTGCTGCTGTTGCTGATGCTGTTGTTGCAGTTGCAGTTGTTGTTGCTGTGCTACTTGTGCAGCTCGTTTTTTCCTTCGTTGCTGCTGTAAGAGCTGAAGCTGTTGTTGGAGTTTGCCGCCGGTACTAGCTTGCGCCGGAGTCATCAAACAACTACTACTGCCATCCTCGTCGTCGGACTGAGATTCAGAACCCGTAAAGCGAGAGGTTGAGCCTAACTCAGCATTTATTGCATTCAACTCCTCTGCGTAGCGTAGCTGCGTTCGCTCTTCAACTACATTTACATCACTAATTAATTGTGTTGTTCATTTTAAGGAGCTTCGAGTACTCAACAGATTAAATAATACTTTATAATTGTCGTAAATTTCATAAGTTAATGTACAATGAAATATATATATTATCCATTCCCACATTAAAATTATATAATACATTATTATCCTAAGAAATGCTAAATATTTTCCCTAAAGTTTTATAGGATTACTAGACTGGTTTTTGTAAAATTAAATCACAAGACCAATCTTAGTGAATATTATGAATTATATAGTCTAACAATAGCAGAAAATTAGGTCTTTTACAATAAAAATTCAAAAAATTTAACGTCTATGAAGATATTAAAAAAAAGATAACATAAATATTAAAACTTATATTATTAAAACAAATTAGATAAATTTCTTATAATTATCTATTTGCTGTTTAAGTTAATTTTTTTAAATACCTAAGGCAGGTTTTGGTTTTCTCCATTGTAATTTTGATATCGATCGATGCGAAGGTTGACTAAAACCTTGCTTGTAAGCATTCGATAATAAAGTATCCCTCGACTTGAGAAGTTGTCCAGCAAGTTCATAAGCTCGCTTTCTTTCTTCAAAGAGGAATTTTCTTTTCTGTGCTTTTTTAACTAAAGTACGCATGCGTTTAATGTCAGGCCTAAAGTGTCCGGCTGAAAGATGTTTGTGAAAATCATCTAACGGAGTAACTCCAAATCTAAAATAATAAAAGAATTCAGCATTTAAATAAATTTATAATTTCAATTTCGCATTAAAGGTTTAAATAAAGCTGCAAATGAACTATCGATTTAATTTTAATTGAAATTCAAAAATATATTATTTTTAACTATGTATACATCAAACTAACCTATGAGTTTCTCTCTGAAAAAGCATATCCAAAGTTTTATCCAACTCAGCCTCAATATTGCAGTCTTTTGGAAATGTTGGCAAAAAACTATATAAAGATTCTTTTTGACTTTCACTCAAACATTCATCCCAGAATCTTGGATAATCAAGCATTTCCTTAAATATAGATGCGTGTTCACACAAGTCTTGAGGAAGTTTAACTTTTGTTCCACCAGCCATACATGTTTCCCATCTCTGTATAAATAATTATTAAAATCTACTGTTACAATGCACATAATTTAACCAACATTATAAAATACATAACAATAATTGGCACATTGTCATAATCACTTTAACAAATTTCTCTTATCGGAGAATACATACAGTTGTTGTGTATTAAGACATTATTTGTATTTAGGACTAACTTTAATATAGATATCAATCAAATTTAAAATGAACTCAGCTAAAAATATATATTTTATTACTCACTTCCTCAGGATGCTCGCTTACGTCATTTTCTTCCTCCTCTTCGTCCACAGAGCTATGGGTATCGGAACTACTGGTTGCTTGTTCATCCGCACTTTCTTCACCACTATCAGTTGTGGTACTACTACCACTGCTATTACTACTAGTCTCTGTTCCAGAAGCTTGTGATAGTTCCTCGTCTTCATCCTCTTCCGCTCCAGAGTCACCATTTATAGAGCACTCGTCGATCTAGTAAACACATAAATAAATGCCATATTAATATAAATCATATTATAATTGACTAACAAAGTAACGTAATAAAATTTCTGAAATTTATAATATATTAGATTGTAAAATATTTAACAATAATTCAAAATTTGATATATAAATATTAAGAAATTACTTGAAAAGTTACATTCTAGAAAACGTTTGATTTAAAAATGATTGCACAAAAAACAATGACCTAACAAATATTCAATAAAAGATATTATTATGTTTGTAATAATAAAGAACTGTAAGGAATGAAAGTGAAAACTCACAATTGATGATGAAAGCTTGCAAGAAATATTAAATTTAACAAAAATTAACCTTTTATATATATTTATATGCTTACATTATGTATGCACACACCATACATATATAGATATATATATATATATATATATATATATATATATATATATATTCACACATACGAATATATATATATATATATGTTTGATACATAAAAATATGTATATAAAATTACTATAATTTCATATATTAGTATAGTTATATAAATAGATACAATTGAAACAATTAAAAAACTATGGTAAACTAGGTAAAAATTACGAATTATTTTACAGGCAAAGAAGATAAATAAACTTATCGTAAGAAACGTACAATCAATGAGATTAGAAAATTGTTACAACAAACAATAATAGATGCATGATTGAAAATGATAATTGCTCTAATCACGAGTACAAATGCGTCAATTATCAAAAATACTACTTATTTCGTATAAATGAGAAAAAAAATTCAATTTACTTCACACAAGCGGATAAACATATTAACTACCTTAACACTTAAATTTATCAAGCTATTTTATCAAATTATTATTAAGTCATTAAGTTATTTTACTATGTTATTGATTAATATTAATCAATAACATGTTGGTAGATGTAACGCTCATAGAAATTTGAAAAATCACTTAAACAAGCCTTTGCATCGATGCCACTACCAAGCAGATTCTCTAAAAATCGAAAGACTAAAGACACAGATAAACGCAATAATATGAGAAAAATGCATTTTTACAATAAACTAATCACGAGTAGCACTTAAAATACGATCGAATAGTAAATTACAGCGTGCCGCTCTAACCTCCATGACGCAAGTCTTTGCTGTTCTCTCCTTCGTAGATGTGTACAATGTCGATACGCTAGAATGCGATTATTCAGGAAGACTGCAAAAATGCAAGCTTGTTCCTTATCTTGTATTCGCGGAGTAGTAAACCATCGGCCGTACACTCGCTTTATATATCGATCGTATTATTATATTAGGTAATCTCGGAGCAGCCTGTCACACGATTGCGGCGGCTGCAGACGATGATAATAATTGTCCCTCTTCTCCTTCCAGTGAAAATGCAACGATATTGAATCGTACTGGTGCTTGGCTACCAGTAGCTCCTTCCTCATGGCATTTGTAAATGTGTCTTATGTTTTTCAGCACTCTTTAAAATACGTGAATATGATATGCAAGGAGAGAAAAGATCGGACCGCCGACGCGATCGCGCGCCGCGCGCGATTATTTATACGCAATGTACGCATGTATATATCTATACGTATAATAAACTTGGTATCCTCTCGTCTTTCGCTCTTTGCATTAGCCTATTTCTATATTTTCGTCTCGCTCACTTCTTGCTCATGTGTATTTTTTCAAAAGAGCAAAAAGAATAATTAGTTTGTCTTTTTTACGGTAGATGGATTATTAGAGGCGCGAGGTGTACCCGCAAACGGATATAACGGCGGCTCATTATCCGAACTTATTAAACCATTAATCGTTAAACGTAATGTAATAATACATTTATAATTAGATAACTCATATTTATTTTTTATTCATCGTTATTGTTTGGTTCAATACTATTTCGTCATTCTAAATAATTCAATAGGGGCTATTATTCTATATATAATATCTGTTTATCTGGATTCGGGAACATTCAAATTGGAGAAATCTGTACATGCGGTTAATTAATCATGATATTATAGCGATTGAAAATTTTAATTCGTTTTTATTTCATTTGTGTTTTTTGTCATATAGTATTGTACATTGCCTGTTTAAAATAACTACAATAATGATTTATGCGATATAAGAAATATAGTGCTCAATTATAATTGCCATATATGACTGCTTTAATTAGAATTTATATTTAACTTTAGTAGCAGTTACAAATTAGACGGGTAAACAAATCTCTTTTGAGAAATTAGCGTAAGCAATTTTGTTCTTAATTTTTTATTGTCCAAACATATTACATCCAATATGTGTAGTTTCGAGTAAACGAGTGGGGTAATAATTTTTTTTGGTTCTCTAAAGTAGAGCATGAATGCAATTAATAATAAAACAAATCGACAGATAATTATAAGAAATTGTATATAAATATATACCTTACCTTAAATGAAATTATCTGACTTTATTGGATCTTCGATTTAAACTTCATAAATATAATTAATATAATTGATAAATATTTAATATAAAGTGCATTGCTGAATACACTGCAGTTATAATAAAAAAAAAAAATAAATAATAATAATAATAATAATAATAATAAAAAAAAATTAAAATTAATGTAACCCGTTAAAACAAAAAGTTTTATTAAAACGAGTACATATTACATCAAAATATTATACCTTTATTGTTGATATAAACATTATACAATATGTTACAAGCATGTGTGTATATATTTTTTTATATACATACATATATACTTGTGTGTCTATACATATATATATGTGTGTGTCTTCTATACATATATATATATATATATATATATATATATATATATATATAGAAGCACATATATACATACATATACATACACACATAATATATATAATTTTTTCTATTCTATTTTTTGTGTAAATCATATTATTTGTAAAGCTAATACACTCTTTGTGCAGTACAATTTCAAAAGAAACTTTCCAATAATATAATAAAATATATCATGGTCAGGTAATCTACTATTTAACTTCGAGTGTTATTAGTCATAATAGTCGTAGAAATTCTGAGAAATCTTTCACCAAAAATACATTCATTATCAGTTGACATGAACTCAGGAAGCTAAAATTTGTATTATTTGCAAATTATCTTTGCAAAGTTATCATTGTCTCAAGTCTCAATTATCTCAATGGTCGCTCCCTGATGTATCTCAACAAGGCACGTTTGAAATATAACTCATTTACATACATGCATACAATCTCTGTTGAACAAGTTGAAAACGCAAGCAGTTACACCAGTGGTAAATCTTACTTGATCATTATGGAAAAGAGAGAGAGAGAGAGAGAGAGAGAGAGAGAGAGAGAGAGAGAGAGAGAGAGAAATTTTTTCTTTATTTGTGTCATATTTTTATAAATATTACTTTCTTTTTATCCTTATATTTACATACTTAGAAAATAACTCATTGTCTAAATATTTATTAAATGTGTACTACATTGTTTGTTTCGCAAAACAAATATAATTCTCTTAAATCTTTTAAAAATTACATTTATTTATACAAAATATTTTGAATTTTAACTTTTATCTCGTGTATAAAACTACAAATTGCATTTATTATTGATAAAAATTTACGAAATAAAACAGTATTCTCTTATTATTACTTTATGAATTAATAAATAAATAAAAGATGTTTTGACATACTATATAATTTAATCTTAGATTAAAATTTTTGTTAAAATAATAATAACTATTATTATTATTATTATTATTATTATTATTATTATTATTATTATTTATTAATTTTTTTTAAACTACATTGCATAAATAAATTTTATTTTGTAAGAAATATAAAATCATTTTATTTATAAGTTCTTATGTTTTTTTTCTTACATTTTAAGGAATGAATCAAATGTTTTTAAACTAATCTATACTGTAAAAACTCAGCTATAGTGAATTTTAGTTTTTATAATTACTAGTAATTGTAAAAGAAAGTTGACATAAGTAAAGAAAAGTTCTTTGTATTCAATTAACTAGTAAGCTCAACTGGTTAAACGCTTTTACATTATGAAAGGACATATCATCGAATCTTATCTTTTCGCTCAACGAAATCAAAGAGTCAGTGTCAATATAGAAAAATATAAAACATTAAAAATTCCTTTAGCCAAAAATCATCACAGACAAGTCTCTTACTTTCGCCATTCTCTGATTATAACAGACACAAATTTTCCTTCTCTTGTTACAATGTATTGTATTAGATACATTTAAGCTATATAAATATCATAAATATACATTTACACTTATATATTAGTGGCCTTAATGCTTTGTCAACGCGAGTCTATCATCTCTCTGCGGTAGAATCGTCAATCGGAAGTAGTTATCGTCCAAAATATTCCAAAGGCAAATCTAGTATCGTATTTTATTAAAAATACTTTAATTTTTGCTATTTATTTAAGTACTTATGAATAACAAATTTTTTAAATATTTAATTGATTTAAATTTTTTCATCTCTTATAAATAAATATGTAATTGAACTAAAAAAAAAAAAAAAAAAAAAAAAAAAATTAATTAAAAAAAAAAAAAAAAAAAAAAAAAAAAAAAAATTGACTATATACAATAAATATGTTATTTACCATAATCTACATTAAATTAATAGATTTAATTTAATTTCCTTTTGCCAAGCTATCGATTATTTCATAAGAACAATCAAAATTTTTTTTTTAAATAAATAGCAAAAATTAAAAATTTCATGTATTAGGATTCAAGTATACACGTATAATATCAGTGATAAAATACACCTCAAATTTATGTATACGTGCAGATATTATATATATATATATATATAAATATATAATAAATTCAAGAAAATTAATGCATACATACATGCATACACTCATACGTATATATGCATTCATATATGCTGTAAAAACATTTTTCATGTTTTATAAGCACTTAAGTTATATTTCGTTAGGGCTCCGATCTACGATTCTATTTTATAAAAAGATCCACGACTCCTTAACTTCAACGTGTGCAAGCTGTTTAAAAAAAAAAAAAAAAAAAAAAAAAAAATAGTAAATTGTTCATAATTTCAAACACACGAATTACAATTTCACATATAATCTATAAGTGCTAATATTAAAAAGATAATTACATGATAAAATGCTTATGTTATATTAGTAGAAAAGTATAGTTCAGGAAAACAAAGTTTTAAATAATTTATAATATTACTTAGCAATTATCAATTTTCAATTTCATTGAAATATTATTCATAAACTGAACTTCTACAAATATTCTATCATAATTGTAATGAATTATATTTCATTTCTCAAATACAGTGAGTGGCTCTTAATAAAACAATAAGGAAAAGAAACATAATAGTGTGTAAATGAATTTATGAACAAGGCACAGGTTTAGCGTACATACGAATCTGCGGACAGATAAGTCTACACATTTTGATTATATAATCGTATATTCGTTGACAAAATAAAAGAACTAATAAACGAATGAAAAAAATTGATAATACTGCACCTATTATTTTTATGTACATACACACCAGACCGAAACGAGTGGTGCACTAGTGCTAGAAAAAGTTTCTCGCTTACTTTCTTTGTATGGAAGTCTTAGTGTGTTTTCAATTTCTTTTTTACTTACGTAATAATTATCAGAAAGTTCAGTTTTCTTTATTTTAAACATCGATTGAATATTAAATATATAAAACTAATTATTTAGTACTAGCATTATAATAAGAGTACGAACAGTAAAGTTTACAAACATTAGCTAAAAAGATTTAAAAGAAATGAAGGGGAAAACACACATGCGCGCGCGTGTTAATAAAGAGAAAACAGAGAGAGAGAGAGAGAGAGAGAGAGAGAGAGAGAGGAGAGAAAATAGAAAGAAGAGAGGAGAGAGAGAGAGAGAAGAGGGAGAGGGGGGAGAGAGAGAGAGAGAGATAGGGTGAGAGGGGAGATAGTAAAATGAAAATCTGTCCCACACTTAATGTAGCACCAGATTGGGAGCTTCGAATAAATTTATTGTTAAAATATTTCTTACGACTTGGTTAACTTCGTCCGATTGGCGGCGACTGCTGCTAAGCAAGCCAGAGCTTCGAGATCTGGTGATGCGCACCATGCTACAAAACAATAAATATTTCATAAAATAATTTTCAATAATCAATAATAAATGATTGTTATTTTAGTAAATCCACTTACATTTACTGGGTACTTGGTCTTTATTAATAATTGCAGAATCAACAGTCAATGTATTTCTCGTTATACTTTGTTTTCGTGCTTTTCTTTTTTGACTACCAACCAAAAGTGATTTTTCCGTTTCCTTTTGCGATTCTGTATTTCTCTCATGATCCAAAAAATCTTCGTTATAACATTTCTTCAACGAACTTCCAACTTTTTGGATAATTTTCTTTTTTTTTGTTCTTTGTTGCTTTTTCATAGCTTGAAACTCTTCTAAACTTAATGATGGTAGTGCTTCAATTTTCTTTTCGAGATTAAAATCCCTAAATCAGATCAATATGATAAAAATATATTAATAAAGCTTTTTACAATCGAATTTGGATTTAAATTAGCTTATTATTAAAGCATTAATTTTTAAAACATTATCGTTTTCAAATGAAAAATGCATATACCATGATATAATTTTACAATGAAATGGTTTATAATTGAAAAACAAACAAACAAAACATTCATGAAGAGAAATTCATACATAAATTGTTAAAATTTAATCAGACAATTATAATGAAGCAAATCCTTATATAGAATTATTTAAATTGTAATAAAATATTTATGTGTTTAATAGCTTAGATAGATATTTAAAATAATTTTATTTTTTATAAACTACCAACACTCCTATAACTTACATAGTTCATTAGTATAATAACGATAAATTATAATTATAGTGTGACAATTAGAAACTTTGAAAACTACTATAATATAATTTTGCTATTTTGATTAGTATTTAAATACTAAACACAGCAATACTCTTAATATAAGTGTCAAATAAATGTGAAATAATGTGATGGAGCTACTAATTTCTATATTTAACTGCATTAAATTAATATACAAAGTAACTTACTCAGCCTTGAACCTTTTGCGAGACATCCATGCAATATGTCTTTCGCATCCTTCGGTCTCAGTTTCTTCAGGTTTGGATGCTTCCAAATTGCCTTCGGCGCTAAAAATATGGGTTACTTAAAACTTCATAAAATATGAACAATGAAGTAAATAAAACTATTTAATAAACTGATAATTTGGTACTTAAATTAATTTAACATAGAAAATCGAAGATAGTAAATTAGAATAGAAGGTAAAAAATTTTGTTAAATACAATTTAATCATTGATTTAATTTACGCAGGCGTGCTATATTGATAATAGTAGCGTGCTTATATAACTAACAGTCATACAGCACATAGGAGATAAAAAAAATTGACAAATTTCACCAGCACTTATTAAATTATCATACGTTTAAAATGATCAAATTAAAATTATTGTGAATAATTTTGAAAAATTATAATACCCTTCAACCAGATGTTCCAAGTCACCACGAGAACTTGTTCCTTCACTGCTCAAAGAGTCTGTTTTTTCACTGACATTTGAAGAAATAGAATTTCTTCTCTCTCTATTATGTTGATCGATGCTAAACAGAGATTATTATGATTCTACGATTCAAGTTTTGTTTTGGAAAAATTAATTGCGTACCTTGGTAATCCCGAAAGTCGACGCTGCTTTGCTTGGTGAGTCAGTTGGTCAGCTAAAAACTTTTGGTATCGTAGTCCTTTACAAGTCCTTTCAACTCGAAATTCATTATCTTCAACCGAAGAATCATCGATATAACTCTGACTTTCATCGTGTTCATCTTCTACATTCTAAAATCAATAAGCATAAATAATATTGTCTTTATAATTTTATATGCATACATTTCAAATATGAAAAATATTTAAATTCTAATTACTTATATTAACAACTTATTGATTTTTGTAGTTATATTATTAATACAAAAACAATAACTCAATGAAAAATAGTGTATATTCCATAAAAACTTTTATGCGAAGTACTTTTTTTAAGATGTAGTTGTAAAACTTTACCGTAATCTGATGATTATTGTTTGATTCTGATCTGTTCTTTTTATTCCCAAATAAATCAGCTTTGCAATCTTCTTTTGAGTCGGTTGAAATAGGTGATTCAGAATATCGTTTCTTAGGTGGTTTTGGAACATCACGAGTGTCTGTATTCACATTCTCTAAGACAGGATTTTTAATAGATGACTGAAAGTCTTGAATATTTATTTTTTGTGGAGTAAATAATGAACTTAGTCCTCCTATTTGAGATTCGTCTGCTAGTTTTCCGGGTTGTATAGAATCTTCATCTAATTTAGCTAAATCCGCAGACAGATAATCACTTTTCATAATATCGGAGCTACCATCACATTGTGCAGAGTCTGACTTTTTATTAGTTGGCCTTGTATTTAATGTACGAAGGGGAGGAGCTGGTAATTTATACCATTTAAAATCTGGATTAGCATTTAAAAATGCATCTTTGTACTGAAAAGCAATAGCGAATAAAGAAATTAATGGACATGAAAAGTTATTAAAAATTATGATTGTACAATGTTTCTAGAAATATATATAATATTAACATAATGCTAAATATATTGTATAATTTCTTATATTATGTCTCATCTATGATTATACTAGGTTATCTGTATATTAATGAGCCAGGGTAATATTTCAAGCTAATAAATTAGTAATTATTATATAAACGAATAAGTAGGTAAAATCATATTTATAAAGTATTATTTATTTAAAAATAAAAAGGAATAATATATCTGAAATGAAATTGTTATGGCATTGAAAACTAACGATATACTTGATAAACTTTATATTCGATAGCTTCGGTATTATATACATAATTAAAAATATGAAAGTGATTTAAACTACCATGTTTATATTTAAATTTTATGATTAAAATTGTAAATATATTTTTAATACCTCCTGAGCCAAATTTGTATATGCACACTTTTGTTCTGTCGAAAGCATTGCCCACCATTCGCCAAGAACTCTTGTAACTGCTCGATTTTCTAGATGAGGAAAGCCAGAACGTACGGAAGCTCGATGTCGTTTGCAAAAAATAAGGAAAGCGTTCATGGGCCTCCTTGCATGATGAGCAGGTTCGTGCCCATCCTCCTCTTCCTGTATTGAATTTCACAAACAGTTTGAGATAACAACACACATAGAATTTTCATTGTATAAATGAAGATTTCATATTTAATAATTAGAATGGACAGTAATATAGTACATCATCATCTTATTGTTAGAGTTTTTAATTAGAGGATCAGATTTACTCATACCTAATAAATAATATTATCAATATTAAAAGTAGTATTACTTTTTAAATATTAACATTTACAATTAATATTTATTAATATGATTCAATCAAATATTTAATTTTTATTGTTTAGCGTATAGTAAATAGAATAATAAAAGACTATAAAAGGAAATGGAATAATAAAGAACTATGACTATTATTTCAAATACTGATAAAGACTTTTATGTTGGAAATAATTTTAATAAATAAATTTTTATTTTCATAAATATCTAAATAAAGCAATTTTAGAATGAGCATAATTATTAGCTTATCAGTATAGAAAACAAAAGTTCAGTCCACTTCCACTTATACAGATCATAAATCTCGCCACATTATAATTAGATTTTATTCTATGGGAGTTAGGCTGCTTTTTGTTATATTTAGAGACGAATAATACAATGATGTCATTATTTTTCAAATAAGTAGCATTGCCAAAAAATCTTTTATCAGTTAAGAATTTTCAACTCAAGCCAATATCAGACATAAACGAGATATTATTTATCTGATTTATTCATTGAAAAAAAATATAACCCCATAAATTAATTGATTAATTAATTATTGAGAATGGAGAATGATTAAAAGTTTTATAGGTCATTAATAGATAATTCATGTATAATTCAACATTGATTGAATTCGACATTTAGTTCTGTTGTAAATACTATCCTTTGTGTACTTATTAATGAATTAATTATTCGTCAATATGAAAACGAAAAAAAAAAAGAAAAAGAAAAAAGAAAGGGCAATAATTTATAATGATGAATTACATTCGCTTTTTATGTATTCAGAAAATACAAAATAATTACTAAGCAATATATATTCGAATTAATTTTATTATTTATTTTATCGAGAGAAAATTCGCCAGTCTTTAACGGAATATATTAACAGACTACAGAAGTCTCGGTGGATCTATAAAAGTCAATCTTTTATATTTAAATATAGACTAATCATATATGCTTTTCGTACAAAAGCAATTTCATCTTTATATGTCGCTTGTAAAGAATCGTATAAAAAAAAAAAAAAAAAAAAAAAAAAAATCCGAATCAGATTCTATCAGAAAAAATTTAAAAAATGACTTGCACAAGCAAGAAGTCAACAAAAACGCTGTTGAACTGAAACAACGGTTAACTAATGTAACCGTTTCTAAATAGTCAAATATCAACGCCAATCATAAATATTCCCGTTATTAAAGTCTTTAATAAAAGAAAAAATTAAGGAAAATATTAACTATATGCATATTTTATCTTATACGCGCGATGTATTCGCATTTGTAAGACAAGATAAATGTTATTGTTGAAAATGCAGCTAAAATGGCCAAAAACTCGGGTCGACATAAATTGTCTTACCAAAACGAAAATTAGTATTTTTAAAGGGAAAATCTCGTTACGAAAAGTGTCGCAATATATATATATATATATATATATATATATATATATATATGCAGTCGAGAAGGGGGCGAAGAAACCATTTTGATCGTACAAGAGACAGAAAAGAGACAGAGACGGAGAGTGAAAAACGTACGTTTGCTCACTCTACTGCCGAAAAAAAAACGTCAAAACGAAACGTCCTTAAAATAAGAATGAAAAAGACTAGAGAAATAAAGAAAAGAACAGCAGACCAATGATGGCTACGAATGAATTTGCGTACTTTTCTTGTGAATCTGCCAATTGTCACTTTGACAGCTGTTTATCTCTCTCTCTCTCTCTCTCTCTCTCTCTCTCTCTCTCTCTCACCCCGATGTAAACACGATACCGTCGTCACATAATTAAAAGGCTGACAATCTTGTGTATACACCTATAGGAATACGAAATCGAAAGTACGGAGAGTCGAACAAAGCCATATTTTCACTCTTCATATAAATGACCTTGGTTTTGAATAAGAATATAGAATGACAAGCACTAATCCACCTCCATAGCCCATAAGGAAAAGTCAGAGGGACAGAATAAGAAAATTTAGCCCTTAAATTATTTTTATAATATATGAATTAATAAAAAGAGTCGGAAGCAACGAAGTACTGTAAAAAACATTGATCTACAATGTACAGGGATGAAATCATGAAACATCATCGAATCTAATTGTTACATTTAAGTTATTTGACTTGACTTGGAAAATGATAGTTATGCAGAAAAAGACAGTGTAAAAACGGAGCTACTCACTTTCTGCTGATGCTCGTTGGCAGCCATATTCCGTGCGCACTGTATATGTTTTGTGTCGCGTGTATATATATAATAATAATAATAATAAATATATACCAACGCATGCTCAAACAAACGTACACACGTAAGCACACACGCACGAACGCGTACACACGCACGCATGCATATACATATCTATATACATATATATATATATATATATATATATATATATATAAATATATCTATGCGTATGTGTGTACGCATGTGCATGAAAACATATATATATATATATATATATATATATTTACGTATGCATACAATTGTTTATGTGCACGTGAACATGCGCGCTTGCATATATAAATATATATGTGTATAATACATATTCTCATATATGCGTATGCATGCCTGCATATGCATATTGACTTGAACGTGCATCTTTTACATTAAAAATTATTCAAACAATAAGAATACATATAATAAAAGATGATCAAAAGACTGTCTCTAACATTGCAACCTCCAATAATCTCGTCTCTTTACTCTCTTTTACGTGTATGCGATTAGAGTGCACGCGCGCACAAACAAATCATTGCACCCCTCACATCCGCAACGAAGATCTTTTTCCGCGATAACTTGGTTTCTATATAATACAGCTGTTCGTGTGTTTGCCTACTGTTGTCGGTCAGTTTCTGTCTCTCTCTCTCTCTCTCTCTCTCTCTCTCCTTCTCTCTATCTTTCTTTCGACCCCTACCACGCTTTCTTCCTGCTATTCTCATTCTTTCGCTTGCGCGCTCTCTCTCTCTCTCTCTCTCTCTCTCCCTCTCCCTCTCTCTCTCTTTCACTCATTAATTTTATTTGCTTATAATAAACTGAAGATATTGAAGAGAGAAAAATAATAGACAATAATAATTTTTAGTCCCATTCGAGGCTGTATTCGGCCATTCTCGTTGCAATTTGTAAATTAAACGGAAACAAATTTTCTTTTAAAAGAGATACCATAAATTTCCAAAGTGCATCAAGTTTCTTGCATGCACAGTCAAGATTGCCATCGACAGAAACGTCATCGATACAACTTATCGAATAACGTCATTTCTTTTCTTGCTCTTGTGTGTTTTCTTTCGATTTTGTAGAAATATTATGTGATTAACATGTCTAGAAATTAAATATGTTACGGAGCTTAAATAAATATACTCTCAAAATCGACTTAGTCTAGAAGTTTGTTTAGATTTTTCGCTCGTAATCCCGGAACAGTATTTTTAAATTTCCCGCCGATAAATAATTGTAAATATAATACATATATTTATTCAATTAATTATATTTATCGAAGGGCACAATTTTCCATTTTATGAAGCTTTCATGGTGATATAAAAATTTAAGCCTATGCTTAAGAATTATTTATATACAAATAAGATTCGTTTTATCTGTAAGATATTTTATTCTGTAATTATATTGTAAATATAAAATATTATAAAATAAATTTCTATTAGGAATATTTTTCATGGCAATAAGGTGCTTATTACTATTCGATCAAGAACATGAAAAACTGAAGATCCTAAATACAATGTCTTTATAATGATCAATTTTTTTTTTTTTTTTTTTTTTTTTTTTTCATATATTTTATGGGTATGAAACTTGTTCGTAGCTGTCGCATATATCAAATAAATCTTTATAAATTAGGAATGTAAAGTGAAAGGATCCTCAGGACAATTGTTTCAATAAGATCTGTTGCAAATCGTCAACCACTATTGTTCAAAATTTTCACACAATTATAAATTCTTTGATTCTGCAATGATATCGATAAGTTTATTTATTTCTTAAATAATGACGTACATTAAGTTATCGTTTAATTTCGAATAAAACTTTATTATACAGTTATTTTTAATACTATAATCTGACTTACAATAATAGTTACAATGTGCATACGACAAATTTATATAACAATGAATGTAATTGAATAAGAAACTACGAAACATAAAACAAAGATGCTGCAAAGATATTAATTTTAACATATATTCTGAACGCATAATGCTTAAATCTTACGTTATATACTCTTCTAGTTAATTTTTCATATACGACATAATGTTAATTGTAATTTCTATTTAAGTTTATATTTTGCCAAGGCAAAATTTGCAAAATTAATTATTTGATAAATATTATTGATTCACAATATCCTTATTTTCTAACAATATAAATATTTCGATGAAAATACAATGTCTTAATTTTACATTACAAAGAGTCTATTTATCATATAAGATTAAATATAGCTTTAGAAATAGGCAAAAATTTATAATCGTTTAAATCTGAATGTTTCATATAGAAAAAAGAAATTATTTTAAAGTTATTTATTTAAAAAATCGAATACGAACATAAAATAATAAATAAAAAAATACGCGATAAATCAGTTAATTTTATTAAATTTCCATTATAGCGTTTAATGGCATTAGAAGTAAAAATTCAATAGTACGTTAAACTAATTAACTGTATGAAAAAAAAAAAAAAAAAAATTCAATTTGGTATTTCATAGCGTTATTAAAATATTAATGTTATCAACTTCCATTTAGATTGAGTAAAAATAATTAAAATAACTCAACGAACTTACGTAGAAATTAAAACCATTTTAACAAAAACTTTTATCTTACTGTTATTTTTAAAAAATTTTCATATTTGAAGTTTATAAAATTTACATTAATAACGATTAAATAATAATAATTGAGTCAATTGTATTTGTTTTAATTTTAAATGCTGTATTACCCTTCCTGTAGACTCATTATATAATATACAAATTCAAATAAAATTTTGATAAAATATCGTATTTCAAATATTATTTTTACACATAGAGTAACAAAATTCATTTCCACAAAATTTAATTATATATTTTTATAAAACAGGTGTATCTGGCTAAATAAATTAATTTTTACCATAATCACCACGTCAGTTATTATATATAAAATTAGAAAATAGAAGAATGGAAATTGTAAACAAAATTGTTCATAAACAATTGTTTATAAATTTCTTTAAAATGTATGTGTATATATGCGTATGATTTTACATTTATTGTTTTGCAATAGATAATATTAGAAGAATTTATTAGAAAATAATTTGCCTTAAAGCATTCAACGAAGACATTAAAAATATAAAATAGATTTTGCATGCATTTACAAGGTAAATATATATATATATATTTTTTTTTTACATAACATTATCTTGCGTTTATACTTAAGTTTCACATTTATTACGTTAATATACTAATTTTTGAATTTTTATCAATTAATTTTACTTCAGTTTTGATTTTGTTTTAACTAATTTTACTTAGTTTAAAAAAACCTAAAAATCTTTTCTCTAGACGAGCAAAATTTTTTAAACAGTTATTGATCTTTTTTATGTAAATAAATATTTATTTAATAAATTTAACTTACAAATATATTAATTAAATTGAAGGTATTTAAATTAATACTGTACATTGAAAATAACAATCTTAGTAAATATCGATATTATTTTGTATAATAATATTAACGTTAGATTTTCTTTTATAATTAGAAACATTTAAATACCCACATAAAACAAACTTCAAACTAGTTAAATTATTTGAAGGTAACTTTTACTTTGACATGAATTGTTTTTCTTTATATAAATTTGTTCGTAAATTTTCATTAACTGTTAAATTATAAGTTAGCCTTGTTGGGCAGAAAATTTTTTAAAATATCAAATACGAATATTATTCCATAGCTTTGTCGAAATTCAATTTTTTATTATGCAATGTGCGAGCTGCATGCTCAATAAATAATATAAAATCTTAATATAATTTTTATACTTGCATAAATTTTTTTTTAATTTGTTTTTTATGTACGAGTTAAATAAATTATAAAAAATAATAATACAGCTCATATCAACTATAAATTTTCTTTTATCATTAAACATTTTACATTCAATAATTCATATATTTTAGCGATTTCAAATACAGAATATTCTTAGAGCGTTTATATTACATTATACATTGGTATCTTATATTTATATGAGGAATAAAAATAAAAATGTTTTAACATTTCTTTATAATAATAAATACAAACTCCATAAGTGTTTAATTTTAAATATTTATAACAATTTTTAAAAATAATACCATTTGTGTAAATCTAAAAACAAAATATAATGCTTATCTAAGAAAAGGATTTAAGATAATTAATGAGTTAGAGGTAGAAGTTAGCTAGGAACTTTGCATAATCTTTTCCATAAACTCATTTTAATTACCTCTAATATATAATTCATTTTTCACTTTAAACAAAACTATTGTTTCTAGTACTTAGAACAATATATCATCATCTCCCTCGTCAAGCATATTAGCAACATCTCCTCTTATATCTTCTCTTCCAGCAGCAATCATTTCGCGTCTAAGTGCTTCGACCTGTAAAATTGTATTTTTATACATTACAGATTATACATTATAATCTTATTATATATTATATTATTATCGAACGTTCCTTTCAATATTTTCCTTTCAATCTTAATAACATTCTTTAATGATTTATTAATATTATTTGATTTATCGATTATTGATTAATAACGATTGATTTATACTTTTAACATAATTATTTTCACTTAAGAGATAAGAATATCTTCTTTTCTATAAATTATATATATATATATATATATATATATATATATATTTATGTTTATATAAAGATAAGTACCTTAGCTTTCGCTTGCTTTTTCTTATCCTGAATTTTCTTTAAACGATAAAACTCTTCCCTCTCAAGTTCATCCAACTCTGAGATAATATAAGCTAGTGTCCTTTCTATTCTTGGAATGATAACGTGCTCGATAGCATTTACACGACGATTTGTGATTTTAATCACTTCATCGAGAGTGACAAAACTAGTTTGCAGGGAAGCTAGCTCAACCAGTAATGTCACTGCCTTTTGGTAATTTTTTTTTAATTTTGTCAATTGTTGACCACCTCTGGCTAAACCAGCTAATTCATATGTATCTGTTCCATCTTGATACGATTCAAATACTGGAAGATTTACTCCCGCTACATTGTCTTTTTTTGAGCGGATTTTAATTTGTGCCTTTGTAACATTTTGTAGGACAACCTGGTTAAAGTCACCAGTGGCAAATTTTGCTTCAGCTAATGAAAAAGCCGCTTCCTTCATCACTTCACCCATCAGTGTTTTTGTCTAAACATTAACTAATTTATTATTAATTTTACTATAATTAATGATTAATAAAATTACAGACTATTTACTTTAATAGATTACTTTACAATTAAAAAATAATCACTTAAATTATTAAGTATATAGTAATTGGAAACTTTAAATTATTAATAAGAAGTTGGATAGGCTGAATTAGATACAAGAAAATTTTTTAAAAATAGTAATTAAATTAAAGTTGTTAGCATACCGCAATAATTTTTCCTAAAATCATTCTAAAACGCATTTGTAAAGCATCAGCTTTCTTCTTTAGCAAACCATGACCTTTTTGTGCACCTGCTAATCGAGATTTCATCAACATTTGAGCTCTGGAATATTAAATTATTCAGTAAAATTGTTTATCAAATGAAAATCAATATTAATATTCTGTAAGTGAATTACTATTACGAGTTATCAAAAATCTATTTTCTAATGAAATAAAATGATCAGTTGTTTCGAAAATGCTCAATGACACTTATGATGTTTATTATTTCATTATCATAGTCACGAGACAATGTTAAATTTTGTATGAAATAGTACTATTTTTTAAAGTAGGGTTACACCCACTTTTTTCGTGTATAAAAAACGAGACAAAATTGTGTTGATGCATAAAAATTTTATGAACAATCATATGATAATGATGTAAAAATTTTAACTTATATTTTTGAAGACGATATTCGTAAATACTTACCCCCGAGAGGGAAAAATTGGAAGTTTATCCTTTCCTGACATGTTTTTAGTACAAGGAGACAGGAATAAAATTGATCAGCTGACTTGTGATGGACCGGAATATTATTCTATCAGAATGAAATTAATGGAAATGAACCGGACCAGCGCGGAATTTTAAAAACGACTAGTTAGCATTTAAATTTAAAAAAACACATGCCAATTATGTTAAAAGTTAATTAACATAATAAAATTCTTGTCTATACGAGTTAGGTACACTATTTATTAACAAAATATAGAATTCAAATTTTTTCAACAGAATAACCATCGTTTATGTGATAAAATTTAGGTTATAAATTTAACTGCCCAGGTTTTAACACCTGTCTCACATTTACATTTATTCTCGAATCCGAAATGTAAGCATTTACTTTTTGCCAATCTTCATTATTTATTGAAGAATTGGGCATCGAACTCCATGGCTTAGATTCATCGATTAATATTTTTGGCACTCCATGATATTTTAATCTAGAGTTACCCGACATCACAAGAACATCGCCACTACGTAAAAATAATGCATGAGCCGAGTTCTCTTGTTTAAGTCCTCCGATAAGAAAAATAGCTGCTTGACCAAAGCTAATCGAGAATAGAGGAGCCTCGAGGTAAGCTTCGGAATGATCAGTATGACCAGCTAAAGTTGAGTTCATTTTGTAATAATTAATTATGGCTGCTTCGGCTTTGAATTCTTGAAATCCTAAGATACGTGCAAGGTATTCTATTAGATCTTTCAAATCGTTTGGCATTTTGGATTTCAAATTTTCTGAATAATGTTTCGTATCCCAATTATGATGATACCCTAATGTTGTCCATCGTAATCTTGATAACAAATCTTTTCTTGGCATTGTTCTTTATTCAAATATTCAATTTTAATAACTTTTCTCATAAAAAAAAAAGAACGTGTGAAAATTATATAAAATTGTATTTTTACCCAAAACAAGTATCCCACCAAGTTTCGTTATTACTCAACAAACCATGAGCATCGATATTTGTAATATTTGGCTTCTCGGTATATTCTTTTAGACATTTTATAATCCATTCTTGCTGTCCTTTGGCAGTAAATGGATTTTGCAATAAAATTAATCCTAAAATATCAATTCATTCTTAACGTATGTAATTCATCATGTATAATTTACAAATTTATACACTTTACCTGGTATATTGATAAATTCGTAAATATTCCACTCTTTCATAGACTTTAGTCCAAATTTTACTCCTAAACCAGTTTCAGACTGGAAATCAACATTCATTTTCCTAACCTGCAAAGCATAATATTAATAAATAATCCCGTCATTGTATATTAAAATAAAGTGACTTACATTTTTATTCGAAGGCTTCATTGGATCTATCACATGTTCCAAATTAGGCGGCGGTTTTCGAGCTTTATAATACTTAAAACTATCCTTAAACATGCTAAAACTGTAAAATTAATATAAAAGAAAGCCTAAAGTACAGTTACATGTTTATTTACAATTCTCGATAACTTCTTATAATTTTTACGTCCAAGGCAGATTTATGTTGTTTACATCTGACGTGTAAATTATCAATAAACAAAGATAAAGAAGAAAATTCATAGATGGATAAATCGCTGGCTGCTACCTTTACTCGTGTGAACCTTGTCAATCGACTTTTCTTGAGTTTATTACTTTCCAAGCTATTTAGGTTTTTTGCAATTAAGGTTACCAAACAAATGCTCAGGTCATAAGTAAATTAAGTAAATTAGCTAAACACCGCATTGAGATTTATAAAAAAAAAAAGAAAAAGGAACATATGACACATCACGTCATGAATAATTATTGAAGATGAAAATGCTAAAAATGAGAGAAATTTAATTAAAAAATATACAATTAAATATATGGTATTTAAATGCTTTATTTGAAGTACAGCTTACCACATGATTGGGTAAATATGCAAAATATTTTAATGTTTTATCGTAATATGAAAAATATCTTTTTCTAAAAATATGTTTCTTAAAAGTCATTTCAACAAACACGATTGCCTAATTATAGGCCTTGCAATATTCATTTGCTTTTAAGCATTAACTAATAAACAAATTATTTTGCAGCTTTTTATTTTAGATTCTCATTTTATTTCAGTAAGATAAGTTTTTAGGTTGAAGATTTTTACAGAAATTTTAGAAAATTAAGTTATAATTTTTCTCTAGTGCCTACCAGCTTACAGTTCACCAATATTGATAAGACTTTGCAATTTTGTAAAAGTTATACCATTGGCGAGAGCATGTGTTTAATTATATTTATTGTTAACGATTTGGAAAATCGTTTCTTAGAAATTTGTCTATGGCCATGTCGAGAGGGCGCGATTGTGCCATCACGAGTACCTACTTTTAAATTCTAATCTGAATAATTAAGTGATCGGTAAGTACAAAACGAAACTGCTCTATGGATTGAAAAAAAAAAAAAAAAAAAATAAATAATTAAATAAATAAAAATAAATGTCAGACAAATCATTATGTTTATTTTCCCGTGTCTATACATATAATAATTATATTAAATATATAACATAATTTTCATTTTTTAGACCCGAAAGTTGATTGAATATGAAAATACTATATTTGAATATTTCATACCTAATTAACTTTAATATAGCCGTATTTATACAACAATACATAGATCCTACTACCTACATCAACATAAAAATATTTTCTCTTTCTTTATACAAAATAATTTTATATCTTTGAAATATTTCTCCGATTCGAAACAAAAAAAGAAAAAGAAAAATTATTTATTACATTTTATAAGAACAATTACGTATGCCAAAATATTCATTCAATGTGTATGCTGATAAATAGTTATCAAATGTTGACGAAGGCCTTCGTCGATCCTTTCCACTGCATAATGAAAATATGTCGAAAAACATTCTAAAATCGATTCAAACATAAAAATACAATATATGGATACATTATATAGATACATTAATATCGTTTAAATCGATCGACAACTAAACGATATAAAAAATATTCTTTTAATGCTTAAATGATAATAGTATTATAACATGAATAGAATATTTATTTATGAAAAATTGACCAATTATATATTAAAAAAAAAAAAAAAAAAAATTCTCAAATGTATAAGCTATATGAGTACGCGTGGTAATGCTTTTAAAATTCTATTTGGTGAAATATTTTTATATCTTTCGAAACGAAGTTACCAATATACTAATTATTAAATACAATACAAAAACTTAGTTAGCAAATTAATTACTAATGTAATAAAAAAAAAAAAAAAATTATTAGTACAACGATAATGTAGCAATTATTCAGTTGAATAAAACGAAGTGATTTTTATAAAGAAAAAGTCATCTTAATATTTTATGAAAAATATCATACTTTATATATATATTATATAATTTATCATTATAAGTTTCGAAATAAAATTTCTTATTATTTGGCTTAAGATTATTTATTTAATTTTATAGACCTTCAAATATCTTAGTCAAAGAACGGTAATATCATTGATATGATAGATTAGATAATATTTTTATTCGATTTCTTTTGTTCGTTGCTTTTATATTTCTACATAATTACAAAAATTCTATGACTTTTCTATTGAGAATCCAAAACCTATTCGGAAGCAAGAGTATTATTTATTTTATAAGAAATACGTTCAAATAGAATTTTGAAATTTATCGAACGATCGTTTAAATGAAATTTTTGATAATTATTCAGTAATTACAAATTTTACGTAACAAGAAAGATTTCAAATTGATAATATCCACTATGAGACAACAAACATCTAATAAATCATTTATTGAAATATTTATTCAAAATTTATATTATACACATTTTCTTTTAACGATTAGATCAATTTAATTTAATTAAAAAAAAAAAAATTTAGATAATAATCTTCAATACAATCTTCAATTTTACGAAAAGAAAAAAATTATTAACGCCACATAAATCCATTTATGTCAAAATTTACGATGCGGAAGTTGTTACTAATCTGTTGATTCAAAGTGTTGCAGAAACAAAGAAACTTGGTTATACTTTAAATATATGCATATATTTCTTTTTGCATCAATGTGCTGCTAAATTGAATTTCAAATTTTCCTTCAAAATAATTTTCTATTATTTTACACTATAAATTACTCGTACTTCGGGATACAATTATCTCCAGAATACTTTATAAGAATTTATTAATATTTTATTTATATTTATAACGAATTTTTTTTTTTTTTTTTTTTTTCTGTTTATACCAAATTATTGTTATTTATATCGATATTATTTACAAAATTTCATTTCCAAGAGTTTGACAAAATCATGTAATATTGCTAAGTACGATATTTATTAATCGTGCTTATGTGAGTATTCAGCAAAGGCCGAATGAGAGATATACGAGTTTTAATTTCATTTAGAACGTACTATTTAATTTACTTATAATTTACTCTATTGAATTTGCTTTTAAAGTAAAATGGAATTTTAATGTATGCAAAATAAATGTGTGAATATTTTTAACTCCTTCGCTAATAACTTTTTTTATTCATGCACACTTAAGAATCTACTTAAAAAATTCCGAGCATTCGTCGAATGTACTTTCACTTTAAATAAAAGAAATTCCATTTTGAATGATTTATGAATACGCTGTATGGTAAGAAGTTCAATTCTAATCGTAAATACTATTCATGATACTTATGACTTTGCAAACAGTGACAGAAAATGTTTTCATATTGCATATTAATACGACTTGTGTAGCATAACATAAAGACGCTCTGTAATTGATAATTGTAAAACTACTTATTCAAAATAACCGAACACGTCATTATTTAAATGAAAAACTGTTTCGTGTTCAACTAGTTGGAAGTCAGCCAAATATCGAAAATGTCATTTCGAATTTGAAAATGTATTTATTTAAATATAATGAAGAATGTAATATCGGAGTAACCATTTTTAAGTCTTACATAAACGAACAGAATGAAACAAAATATTCAGATGTCATTAAACGAAGATTTTATTTATTTTAACTTTTTAAATCGAATGCTTTAAGTTTTAAAATGTTCGGTAAAAGTCTCATGAGATTTATGAAAAGTCTATAATCACGCGTACTTATTTATAAAATTCAAAGGATAAGTTCGCGATCCTGTACCGAGCGATAAATATTTCGTAATTTGATGAATTACAATATTCATTGCTAATTAATTATTCTTATTAATCAATTACTGATTGATATTTGCAATTATTAAATTATTTGAAATATTTAAGCATATCTTGTAATGAATAAATATTAAATCTATCTTCTGTTACATAATTTCATTCGATGAAAAATATTTTGGTATAGTTTTTAGTCTAATAATGTTAAAAGGCATAAGATTATAATAGCCATAATCGCAATATATGTTTTTCAAAAATCTTTGTAAACATTCAAGCAAAATATTTTAATCCTAAATATCAAAGCACAAATTTAATTTTCATCAGTTTATTTCCTCAATACATATGTTATAGTAGTGCAATTACGTTATAAATCCGTAATAAATATAATAGAGATTAAGTTTTTTTTTATGCAATTACTAGACAATATGTGCAGCTGTAGATTCGTGTGAATATACAACAATACATAAATTATATCACCTGAATCATACATTAATGCTGATATAATTTCATGTAAAAAGAATTATTATCTCTAATGGAAAATTTTTTGTCAACGTTATTTATATCGTAATAACATCTTTATCTTTTTTTTTTTTTTTTTTTTTTTTTTTTTTTTTTTTTTTTCAATTTTTTTTTTTTTTTTTTTTTTTTTTTTTTTTTTTTTTTTTTTTTTTTTACAAATTATCTTTATCTTAT